TATTCAATAAATGCATTTTTGGGACTTATAAACGTAAAGTCTCAGTAACCAATTTCTTTTTACCAGATCTCATATTACAATTTTTTTTATTGTTTCTTTTCTCTGGTTCCTATATTATATTCATGTAAATAGTTTAAATAATTATCTCAGTTTGGTACAAGGCCAGAAAGGAAGATTAAATTAATTTAATCTACCAAGAAATCAGTATTCTAAATTCTAGCTTTGACTTACGTTCGAACACTTGTCATAATCCATAACTATTTCAACCACGTCACAAAACAGACTTTACAAAGTAGACTTTATGAGATTTCGCCCAAGGCTACCAATTTTATGGACTCGTGAAGATCGAACTCACACTACAAGTAATGATATACGAAATGGGTTTATTAACCAACCAACGCGCGGTTGTTAGCAGTTCGCTAGTGTAGTGTGGTCGTTCCTCTCTGTATGTCCTATTGCTGTGGCTTTAGGCTAAACTAGGGCTATCTATATTTCTGAGATGAGGTATTATGTACATTATTTACATTATTCGGACTATTGTCCTCATCTTTGTCGTCATATTTATTACGTTGTACGCCCCGGGTGGTTGGAATGTCGAACTGAACCCTTTATTCGCTCACTGGGGTAGATAGTTATAGTTCCACGTGCCATGTTTAATGGATGTCAGCTATCAGTTATCTCCTGATAATTTCCCTCTGAAAGTTCTCCACTGCCTTAACCGGGTATTGAACTAACTCTTTGGGTCCTTTATCCACTGTGCCATGTGTCCTTGAGGACATCTGTGCATAAATTTCTGGGTATTATAAGCTAATGTCTTCAGCCATCATTTTTTACCAGTGCTCATATTTCAATTTTTGCTGTTATCACTTCATGTTTTTACCAGAGCTCATAATGCAATTTTTGTTGTTGTTATCGCTTTTCTCTGGTACTCCTTATTACTGGTTCCCATATTGTATTCATTTCTATGCTTGGTAGGCTCAGGAGATTTTTGTTGCCAAGCATATGTGCTGATTCCTTGAGTTTACGAATTTTCCAATGGTGTTCCCTGTCTATGATCTCAACATGATCCCACAGAGGGCAGTGATCTCCCTTCTCTCTCCATATGTCGTCAGCCACACCTGATTTTTCCACTTCTCGTGTTACAGCTTTTTGGTGTTCTTGAAGCCTTACCTTAAGGGGGCGGCCTGTCTCTCCTTTATATTCCTTTCCGCAGCTGCAGCTAACACAGACTTTAATCATCTTTTCCTCTATGGTGGGTCTTACTCGGGAGAGATATCTTCGAAGTGTCGTCAAGCTTTTGAAGGTTTTCCTGATGTTATATGGACCGCAGATCCTTTGTATTTTCTCTGATAACCCCTTCACATAAGGCAAGCAGACTGTTTTCTGTGTGTTGTTGTCCTCCTCTTGTTTCAGATCAATGGGTCAGTTATATCTACAAGGAAGCGACTCAGAGGGTGGCACACAGAGCCTTGGTAACTAACAATCGGCCTGAGCGGAATACCGTCTTTGTGAATCTCAGGGAGACCGTATATGTAGGTAGCTTGGTGTAACGCTGCGATAACTGCCTATACAACTTAGGTGCGAAGTGATCCTTGTTCTTGGTTAGTATCTGCGACGGTTTGCGTTCTGTTTTCATTGAAGGATCCTTTTTTACTTTGCTGTAGCTACCATTGCTAATGATGTCTTCCACCCTTCTTGTATAATCTGATTTGTCCAACACTACAGTCGCATTGCCTTTGTCAGCCAGTTGTATGATAATGTTTTCGTTCCCCTGTAGGGATCCGATCGCCACCCTTTGTCTCATCTTCCATCTCAGTTCATCCGCCTGAGCCTGAGGGATGTTCAAGCCCACCTCCTCGACTCTGGCAATGATATCCAAGCATGGCACTCACCTGATGGTTGTGGCGAAATTGTGACCCTTATTTAATACTGACTCCTCAGAGGCACTCAGCTGATATTGGCTGATCTTGACTACTACTTTCACTGGTGGGTGATGGACCCTGTGCGTTATCTTCTGATCTTTCAATCTATTTAATTTTTGTAATTAGTGAGCCTTGACTACAGCAAATTCATGTCTGAAGGATTTATCCAGGTCATTTTGGATCCTTATCTGGTCTCCTTCATTAGTAATTTTGTTGAAGAAATTGTCGAGCCTCTGGGAGATCTGAGCTGTTTTATCCAAAGATTTTACTGGTTTCTCTCTCGGACAAGGGCGTGTACCGCTTTTTCTGCCACCAGACGGGCTCTCCTTGAATTAACGGGAAGTCTTGGTGCCAAGCCTGAAGGGATGAGTTATAGATCTCTGCAACGGTGTAGGAATGTCAGATGATTCGATATTCGTGCCAGTTTCTGGTAGGATTTTTCAATTTGTCTCCCTTTTTTTTTTAGTATATTGGGTCCGTACCAATCATTCAATATCTGTCTATATTTCTGTATTATGTACATTATTTACATTATTTGGACTATTGTCCTCATCTTTGTCGCCATATTTATTACAGCGTTTCGGCCGTTGTACGCTCCAGACTTCTTCAGATGGTTGGATTGCCGAAGAACTTTCAGAGGGAAATTAACAGGAGATAACTGATAACTGATATCCATTAAACATGGCACGTGGGACTAGAACAGTCTACCCCGGTGAGCGAATAAAGGGTTCAGTTCGACATTCCAACCACCTGAAGAAAGCCGGAACGTACAACAGCCGGTTGTAATAAATATGGCGACAAAAATGAGGACAATAGTCTGAATAATGTAAATAATGTAATCTAGGGCTAGTTTAGTAAATAACAATTACACTACTGTAGGTGTCCTTGATCGACACTTAATTAATCTAGTCTGATACAAGGCCACAAATATAGCATACTCACTGAGGCTTAGTTAATTTTCTATGTAATATCAGTTCTCTGATACAATACTGAATGCTGGATAAGATGAAATCAACAAATTCATGGTTCTACAGAAGGATTCTGAGAATACCATGGCAGTAACATGAGCAATTTTTAAGGAAAAGGGGAAGCACATATACTTAGAATCAGAAAGAAACAGTTGAAATTTATGTGACACATAATCAGGAAAAAGGCTTGGGGAATTCAAATATTCATAGAGCATACTATAGTCAAGAAGGACACAGCAAGTAACCTACCCGACGAAACTGTGTATGTATTGTTTTTTGGGGTTTTTTTTTTTAAGTTTTGGATGCATTATTTTAAATTGAATAATTTTTCTCTTTGTTACTCCACTTCTTGTTTTAATTGCATGTATTAAATAGTAGCGATACTTTACATACTTAAACTTAATGAAACGAACTGGAATCTATCTATCTATCTATCTATCTATATATATATATATATATATATCAATTTAAACGTTATTTTTAGTGGATAATCGTATTTAAGTAGACGATCCATTTATTTATACAACAGTATATTTATTTATTTTTGTCTACCGGCCTGAATGTTTAAGTAATCTTATTAAACAAAAAGAAGTTCCAGTGCCCTGGACAGCGTGGGTTACCGTTAGATCTGTCACACTCTAACCAAATGAACTACAGAGAACCAGTCGATCCGACAAGGCTGAAATTGAGCCTTTAATCGAAACTTCTCTCGTCATAGATTTCCCGAATTTTTTCATATCTGCTCAGTTTCGTAAACAAAACAATTATTTTCAAGAAAGTATTGGATTTTTATTAATCTGAAATTTCTGTGGTTAATCGTATTTGAGTAGACGGTCTGCTTATTTATTAAGCGGTATATTTATTTATTTTCATCTATCAGCCTGAATGTTCGAGAAATCTTATTAAAGAAAAAAAATTGCGATATCTGATAGAAAAATATATATATATATATATATATATATATATATATATATATATATATATATATATATATATATACAAGTCATATCTGAAAGAGATAATTTTTTCGCTGATCGTCGAACGTTGACAAAGGATTGATGATAATTAGTAATCGGAATAACCGTGAAAAAAGTTCGGCTTACGCCACTTCTTTTTAACGAAAGACCTACATTAATACAAGTTTCCCGCTTTATCTGAAATAGCGTAAAGCGAAGAAACAATTATTATTACTAAGATTTCTATATTAGTGTCGTCGGTCGAAGTCCGTCGACGGCTTTGCCTGGAGTGGAAGTCTTGAAATACGACGCCGACGTTTGTGCATGTTTTTAAACATAAAATTCTTTGTTGGCATCAAAACCTATGCCAAACCAGAGTGCCCTTCCAAAATTAAAATCATACCATTATTTAATGACTGTAGCCCTGTGCTTTTAATTATTGTAATCACTAAACCCGATGCGATCGAATTTCTAGCGTTTTCATAAAATTAGTTATGGGGGTGGGTAATAAATATTTAAAAAATATTTCTACCATGACTTTAATAAAAAAAAAAACATATTTATAATAATTTCGATCATCTGTGAATAGTTGCTGAAAGTTTCATTAACATCCGACAATTATTTCTATTTTTGCACGAATTTTCAAATTAATGTGTGTCATACCAAAAAACGTGCTAAAAATTGTCTATGTTATTTACTAGTTCCGCTGATACAAATAGAAACAAGGTTTTTTTAATCAAAATTTAGAATGTTCTAAAAAGAAGGAACATTTTTAAAAAAATAATTAAAAAAAACTTTGGTCTTTCCTCTAAATAATAACATAAGCATTTAGACAATAAAATTTAGTTTTCGGCAAGGTTGGCGTCTTTTTCATCAAGTTATGCTCATTTTTAGCGATTTCGTGGAGATACCTACTCAAAATTAATGCAAAAGTTTTCATATGATAGTAAAGTTTAAATTGTATTTGTTGGTATTGACTAACTTTAGCAAAGAGATTTATTCATAAAGTTTCAAGTGACAACTCACTAGCCGCGGTCTACAAGAAAGAAAATGTGCGCCAACATGCGCGTGACTCTGTTAACATACAATCTCATAACATAGCTGTGCTGAATTTTGTTATATCGAGTATGCTATGGGCTATGGGACTCAGAGGTCTATATGGAGTTGGTGAGGGGCCTCGAACGTTCAAGTGGACCAACTTTTTCTAATTGCTGATCGAGGCCAGAAAGGATCAAGAAAACAGCTGCCGAGGCCAGAAGCTGTCGAGATCCGTCAGGACAGAAACTCGTCCGAATAATGCAAATAATTCTACACACATCAAATTTCAACATTGGGCAGATGTTTTTACGACAGAGGGAAAGAAAGAAAATCGCTTTCATAAAGAAAGGACAATCAAATGAAGAAGGAAAGCATGGAAAAGTATTATTTTGAAGAATAAGCAGAGAGAAAAGACAAGAAGGAAGTGAAAGTTTAGAAATAGAGAAAATTATCTAAAAGCGTGAAGCAAAGAAAAGAATAACAAAGAAAGAAGGAAAAAGGAAACCAAAAAGGCAAAAGGTAAAAAACAGGGAAAGAAAAGGTATGCAAGAACATACATGAAAGAAGAAAGGAAATTAGATGTAAAACCTTCACAAATGAAGAAAATATAGAAATGACAAATTACGAAGAAAAAATAAGTAAAAATAATAATGAAATAATATCTTCATAAGAAATTCATAATTATTTAATACTGATTTCGGAAATAATAAATAAAATATTTGATTAATAAAGAAGAATTAAAAACAACAAATTAAGAAAAACAAAAACGTAAAAAACGATTACAAATAATAGGATAAATAATAAGATTATTAATAATAAAATTTTTAATAATTATTTTAATATTTTGTTCAACAAAATAATTATAAAAAACGCTAATTAATTAAATGATAAATAAAATACTAATATTTTAATATAAATTTTAATAAATTATGATAATTATTTTAGTAATTTTAATAAATAATAATAATACGATAATCAATAAAACAATATTTTAATTATTAATATTAATTAATATTAATACATGCCGCCAAAATATCCGGTAATAATTATAAAATATAAATTAAAATATGGCCTTACTTATAAGTTCCTAAAAATATCCAGTATTAATAGATTTATAAGAATAAAAAATAAAATAAATATAGTATTAATTATGCCAATCATCTGAAATGTGGGACGTTGGCCATTATGGAGTTATCCAGTGAAATAATAATTCATTAACTGAAAAGAATTGATAAATAAAGTACCTAAAGTGATCGATATCGACATCTGTTGGTCGATGAAACTATCAACACGGTCGATAAATCCCTAAGGAGTCAAAAGGAATCAATAAATAAATCGTGGTGTTACTAAATCTCACCAATTTCCGACGGAATGTTAACGCCATTGTCAATGTCAACCAAGTACATTTCTTCCCACTAATGATGTCAAGCAATTCAATACAAACTTATAATTTAGTCTTGATTAGTTTATTATTTTCTATATTATTTATAAAGCCTTTTCTCATTATAAAATAATAAAGGAAGCCAACAAATTCAAAAGTGAATTTCAAGTGGGTGAAGAAGTGCAAATAAATCAGAATATCAGCGTCGAATGACCTAAACAAGAAAGCAAAATCAAATGCAGTGTATCAAATGCAGAAACGATAACAAGATAAGCCTCTCTCTTCATGGTTAATACTCTACCCTTACTAAACAAACTGATGTAGATAAACCCCATACCCATCAGTAAATACATAGTTTAGGGTTAAAAGCTAAAAAGCGAAGGTTTAATTCTTGAGGCACAGGGCCAATGCTTGCGAACTAGAAATTACCAAGCTCACATACCAAAAGATTTGTTAGCTCGAAATGCAGATTTTGTCTTAAATATTTAGAAACATCTGACCATCTTGTATCAGGTTGCACGGTATTGGTATCCACTGAAAATAAAACTTGGCATGATAGATTGGGGCAATATCTGCATTGGAAAATCTACAACATTTATGGAAAGGAAACTGCAAGAAATTGGTATGAACACCATTTAGATCCGGTTATAGACTGTAACACTTTCATACACACACACAGAACGATCAAAGCTAATCGCCCAGACAACGAAATCAAAGACCACAAAGAAAAGAAAAGAAAAGAAAATGTTCCTTCTTATTGACATTGCAGTCTCTGCAGACTGTAATGTATCGTTGAAGATCTTCAAAAAACTATCAAAGTACAAAGACATTGAAATCGAAATCTCAAAAATGGGGCACATAAGGAGATCAATAATTGCAGTTGCAGATGGAGGCTTCGGTTTGATTGGAAAAGATTCCAATTCATAGAACCCTTCTATGAATTGGAATCTTTTCCCTGGTAGCCCATGCTTTAAAGAAATACATTATAATTGTACTCACAAATATAGCCCACACCTTACGAAGGGCTTTATGGAAAAACGTATGCGATATTAGTATGTTTTCTTCTTTTTTTTTTTCAAAAAAATGTTCAGTGGAATATGTCATGTTGACATTTCTAACCTTAGGTCTTAGATTGGGACCCGGAAAGAAATGAGTATACATCAGAAATCAAAGTAAATAAAATAATAATACCAGTAGTATTAGTAGTAGTAGTAGTAGTAGTAGTATTAGTAGTAGTAGGAATCACATCTCGTATAGGAAGAAAGTGAGTCAGTTAAGGGCCATACGCGAAACACGCTTAATCTATCATGTTCTTTCGATACATGACTAACTAGACAGAAAGATTGTCCGCAGTAGGTTGCTTTAGAGTGTCTGCCAACCAAGTCTACAGAACCCAGTATGTTCTGCTATTCAACCCTTAGGTGGAAGGATGGGAAAGATGGATTCATCCCTTTCCCGACGGTGCTTTGCGCGAATGTAATGAACCCAGAAGAGAAATAGAAATTGAAAAATAAATGACAAGACCTAAGGCGAAGAATCTTACAAGGAAAATAATGAAGGAAAAAGGTGAAAAAATCTGTACACTTAAATAAAAAAATGAAAAAAAAAAACAATATTATTGATAGTTTCTGTACATGTCCCACAAAAGGGTCGAAAGTTTGCAGACCTTAAGTCTAACGGGATTTTTCATACAAAAATTCGTGATTTTAATGAAAGGAAACGAAAATGAAACAAAAAGGAGAATAAAAAAAGTTTTACAGGCTGCAATGGTTAAATTGTCGCCATATTACATTTTTAATTTCGCACATGCGCGTTGTTTATTTTTTATATTGTTGACTGTACAGTATAGTAGTGTTAGTTGGGCACCGTCTGTGAGAAAAAGAGCACAATGATACAATTTACTCTGCCAGAAATTTAGAAATGGTGTGCTGTATTGCTTCGCACCGGAAACCACAATACGAACATTTCAGAGTGTTTAGGTGTCAATCTGAGGACAGTGCAGAGGATTCGGATATAGTTGGGTGTGTCTAATGGCAATTACGAAGGTGTTTAGAGTGATCACTAGTGTTGGCGACGTTATGCTTCCATTCACAGGACCTCAGATTCACCACGAAGTTCTACATCAAGTACCTTGAGAAGATACTGTCATGGGTCTAGAGGGTGACTGCTGGAAGACCCTATGTCTGTCAATAGGACTCTGCATCATGTCACACAAGCAGGAGAACCTTGTCATGGCTGTCAGACAATTTCATCAACCACATCACGCCTTATATCTGGCCACCTAGCTCCTCAGACACCCAAGCTCTTGATTATTATGTGTGGGGCGAAATTGGGTGAGAGACCAACAAAACTCCTCATGACACCAAAGATGTACTGAAGACAAGGATTATGGCAGCATTCGTCAACTTAAACCGTCCAGTAGAGATGCAAGAGATTTCGAAGTCGTCTGGGGTCTGGGGGCCGCGGTTGAAACCAATGGTGATGTTATTGGATGAATTTACTTTACTTTAATTTTCAAGATAGTTTTGTGTAATTTTAAATATATCTGTTAATGTGAGATGTTAGAGTTATTTTTCATTTTTGCAGAGTTTCGATGACAATTTATTTATCGCACCCTGTAGAATAGCGCAAAAGAATAGCTAATTTGAATAAAGTTTCGTCCGTATTGTCTTTCTGCCTTTCTTCTTTCCTTTTTTTTTCCCCCCGTCTATCTTTTCTTTTCTCTGTCCTCTATATTTCTTTCAGGATACCCGACTCGTGTCTGATGACAAATCCTTTAAAAATGTCAAATTAACTCTTTATTAGTTTTCTTTTCATTCACGTTAAACTTTTTTCTTTTCTTTTTTTAATGGCAACTCATAAAAGTTTTTTTTTTTTCCAGGATTTCTTTCGTTATTTTTAAACTTTACAATTCCTTCTAATTTTTGTTTCAAGTGAAAGTAAAAAATTCAATTTAAGTATCCTCATGTAGGTTTCACGGGGCATTACAATTCGACACTTAATATATTACTTTTGGCTCTCTGAAAATGAGGTTTCGCTGGGGAGCTTATATTAGAATCTTGCGTTACAATAAGAACGTTATGTAAAATCGCTGTTTAATTCAACAACTCATTTACGCCATTTATAAATACTTTAAGCTTTCTTGCAAACATTTGGGGCTTTTTTTTCTTTCCTAATTACTTTTTGCTATATTATGTCTCGGGGATTAGAATTTAGATTCGAAACTTCAATTTTCATAAAAATCTGAATCCCTTAGTTAAAATATTTACATTACTTTCAGTAGAATAACCAAAAAAAGTTACAGTGGTTTCAGCCTTTTCAGTCACAGTTAACCTTTTGGTAATTTCAAACTGAACACTTTATTCAATCTACGGGTTAGTCATTCCACTGTCTATGTTACGGATATCCCGTCTTGGTTAATTGTTTAGTTATTGCTAGCGTTGTTTCTACTGAACCTGACTATATCCATACTATCCATCCAAAAGATTCAAAGTGCAATCCCCATAGTCACTAGCTTCGAAGTAGGTTAATATATCATTATTTTCTCTTGGAGTCGCATGCGTTATCCATTTTTGTTGTTGCCGTTTCTGAAATTCCTTAAGTGATGTGCTTTCATCAGAACAATTAACATAAAAATATTTATAGAAAAGAAACAAGGAAGCTAAATTACGGCGGTGAGAAGGTGACAGAAGTCGGGATGGCACGTTAGGACCAATAAAATCGCATATTCTTCTGTTGATTTTATTATCAAGATTCTCTGAATTAGATAACAGAAACACCGGACGGGATGTGGCAGCAATATTCGAAACATGGACAAATGTTAGACTTATAAATACATGCGGCGATGGATAAATTGTCGTCTAAATTATGCAAAAATGAAAATAACACTCACATCTCATTTTAACAGATATATTTATCAAAATTACACAAAAATATCTTGAGTAAATCCATTCAATAACATCACCATTGGCTTCAACCACGCCCCCGAGACAACTTCGGAATCCCCTGCATTTCTTCTGGACTGTTTCCTTGTTTAAGTTGTTGAATGCTGCCATAATTCTGCCTTCAGTTGATCTTTGATGTTATAAGGAGTTTTGTTGATCTCTCACTCAACTGCACCCAACACATAATAATCAAGGGTGTGGTTGTCTGAGGTGGCCAGATGTAAGGGGAGATGTCGTTGATGAAATTGTCTGAAAGCTATGACTGTTTTTTCTGCTTATGTAGCATGGTGCAGACTCCTGTTGACAGAGTCTTCCGGCAACCACTCTCTCGAACCAGGATAGCACTATATCCTCAAGGCACTTAATGTAGAAGTTCGTGTTTATACTGAGGTCCTGTGGGGAAGATGTATGGAGGCATAACAACACCATCACTAGTAATCACCCCAAACACCTTTGTATTCACCATTAGACACATCCAACTCTTTCCGAATGCTCTGCACTGTTCTCAGATTACCACCCAAACACTCTGAAATGTTCGTATTAGAGCTTCCGGTGAGAATATCAAACAGTACAGCATGGCGTTTCCAGATTTCTATCGGAAGGAATAACATCATGGTGCTCTTTTTCTCACAGACGGTGCCCAACTGAACCTACTAGTTTGTGCAATAGACAAAATGAAAAACGAATAACGTTCTTGTGCGAAATTGCAAATAAAAATGGCGATAATTTACCCATCGGACCCTGTATGTAAGATAGATTCTGGAGAGAAACATTGTCTAGCAGTGAACCAACCTTCGTAGCAAATGAGTTGGATTTTGATAGAGAGTAACAATGAATCACTGAGAAGCAAAAAGTAAGGCATAGAAATGAGGGAGAGAGAGAGAGAGAGAGAGAGAGAGAGAGAGAGAGAAGGGGAGAGATATAAAAAAAATGTAACAAAACAATATTGTATAAGCCAAAGAGTGTAATTAATTATGACGGAGAAACAAAAATCGTAAGTGAGGAAGGGCATGGGACAAGAAGAATTATTTTGGGTGCTAAATAGGGTAGCTAAGTTTAACAAACGTATAAACAGCAACAGAACAATATCAGAAAGTGTGACAGAAAGCGAGAATATATTGGAGAGTAACGATGATGATGAGATAGGGAAGAGAGAGTGACAAGCGGAGAGAAACAGAGTGGGTAAAATAGCTGAGACATGTGGAAGGGAAGAGAAAAGGATTGAATGAGATGGCGAGTGGCATAAAGCGTGAGGAAGGAAAATGATTGTGAGAAAGTATTAGGGAAAGTAAAAGAGAGAGAATAGAGAAAGAAATCAAAAGAAAGAAAAGAAAAGAAAGAAAACAATCTAAGTAATCGAGAAGACATCATATAAAAGGTGAAAATTTACGAGGGGAAAATGTTCTCTACTCGACCCATTTCGCAAAATCTAACCAAATGATTATTCATCAATATGTTTCGGAAGCCTAAAACTTTTCATTTTATCTTCGTAAATAGTTTATTTTCATTTCGTAATTTTAGATTTCCTTGCAAGATTAAGAACAAACATATCACAATATGCATTTAGTAATTCCATTGTCAGAAATTCCTTCCACAATGAACGTGTATCTAAGTTAAGTTTTAATCCTAATTGTAACCCATAAACTTGTGTTTATCCTAAAAATAGTCCGAGGCAAATAAATCCATTAACCATATATGATTAAGGAGGCCTGTGGACCTTCAGCAATTATTTTATTCCCCGTTCTTGCTGAGATAATTTCATAAGTTTATATTGAATATACGACGTGAAATTTAAAGAAAGGGCAAGCCTACGTTTATTTATTTACAAGATCTGCGACAAGGTCATAGATGAAAGGTATTCTGTGAGACAGTACAGTAGAGCAGTACGAGTGAAGCTAAAAATTTTCAGGGCGACGAAGATGTCATCTGCACCCACACAGAAGAAGAAAAAATCTATTTAGGTATTTGTTCAGATTTTGGTGTTGAGTCTAGAAATTTTTACTAGCCTTCGTAAAAGTCTTCTTCGCTAGCTTGCTAGACATTCTATCACAACAAAGTGAAATCTAGTATTCCTTTCTCAGTCTATATTTATTTCTACCGGGTTAATAGGGTATTTATTAATCTGAAATTAGTCTGGCACAAGGTCAATGTAGTTTGGTCGTCAGTAAATAACTAAAAATCATCCCCAAAAACGAGCTTCCTAACCAGAATATCAGGCTATCTGTTCAGCTTAGCTCAATATAAATTGAGACAAGATTGATTTATTTGTTACGGTTATTCAACCCTTTGTAAGTTACTTAAAGCTGAAATGTTGGATTGTAAGAATTTCTTTCTTTTTTTGTTTTGTTTTGGAGGGAATGTAGCATGAACAATTATTCGAGAATGTTTTTCCAGACTTACAAGTCATGCAATTTAACCTGAAGCTGAGATTTAGGAAATGCATTTATAACGTTTCCATCTTGATACACCAGACGTCAGGAACTTTAAAATTCAAATTTTAAAGTCAAGCGTCTCTGTATCTTAAAAACATTTCCATGTAAAATTGTTACGGGTGTTTAGTGTATTTGGTTGTCCAAAAAGTTCGTTCGGTTCATTAAGCAATTTTACTACATAATGAGCAAATGAAACTTTTCCCAATCCAATAGTTCTTCTCCACCCTTATATATAAACAACTCCAAAGAAAAAACCATTAATAGCTCGAAGATGTTCTTTCTAAGGACGAAACACGTTACTTCTGAGTTTTTCTCTATTTTTCACCCTCCCACATACACATTCGAGGGTAGATAAAAAAATTATCCGCACTTTTGCCATAACATATTTTTATGTTTGTCGCACTGCTTTCTGCTCATGTGTGCTTAAAGTTGGTACTATTTTGGTCACTGAATCGAAGCTTGAGCTCAATCGCGCCAGTTTGCCTGCTGCTGCTACAGTATAAATATGGCCGCTCCGCTAGCAGTGTGCACCAAGAAATAATAAAGAGTAGTGTGCGAACTAGCAGGGAACATGCTGCCTCATCGATGATAACACGATGGTTCGCCAATATTATCTCTCGAGCATGCTGAATTTTCTCGTCAATGGCGTAGGTTCATCTTCGTCCTGCTCCTACTTCGTGCTTCACGTTTATCCGGCAACTTTTAAACTTTTCGATCCAAAAATACACACTTCTGCGTGGTAGTGAATTGTCACCGTATTGTTTTAAATGTCCCGATGAATTTCAGACCTTGACACATTTTCCGACCAGAGATTTTTTCTTGTTCCTCTCTGATGCACACTACTAACGGAGCGGACATGTTTACACTGTAACAGCAGTAAGAAAACTGGCGCAATCAAGCTCAAACTTCGATTACGTGATCACAATAGCACCAACAAGTTGCGAGTATGAGATAAAATGGCGAATTCACTTCGCTAACTAAATTGTAAAAATTCATTAACCCATTAACGACTCGATGAATATTATGATCATTGTTTTTTTAAAAGTATAAACTGTATTAGGTCTTTCTTAAATATGCAAGTACTTTTGACAGGTTTTCCACAAGTTTGTATCACACTCCAAAAAACATTTCGATTTGCATTATATATTTTCGTCGCGGATGCTACCTGGGTTTTACCAAAAAGAAAATAGTTTCCGTGCCTGATGATGATCGGAGAACCTGTCGAAAGTACTTGATATTTAAAGAAGACCTAATACAGTTTATAATAAAAAAAAAAAAACAAAGATCATAACATTCATCGAGTGGTTAGTAGGTTAAAACATTTTTAAAATTTAGTTAGCGAAGAGAATTCGACATTTTATGTCATTAACTTTACTAATTTACTTTTTGAATAAATGATTCATTTTAATGTGTGTGTATGTCTGTGTGCGTATCTATATATAATTAAGAGAGAGAGAGAGAGAGAGAGAGAGAGAGAGAGACGAACAGAAACATTTAGGTGAAATAAGAAACAAATAGGATGTTTCAATATTCTTTTGAACTTCATCAGAAAACATGGATTCCACTCTCAAAATTTCCGATGACAGTAAATAAATGGTAAAATTGATAAAGTTTTTCTACTTATTAATCCATATTTTCAAATCAAATATTTTTTACAATGATATTCACTCTGTACATGACCCAAAAGCCACTGGAAGTATATATATAACTCTCTGTATGTACACACACACACACACACACACACACACATATATGTGTGTGTGTGTGTGTGTGTATGTATATGTGTGTGTGTCATACATATATATAAGTGTGTCATATATATATATATATGTGTGTGTGTGTGTGTATGTGTGTGTACGTTTGAACGTGTGTCAGAATATTGGCCTTGATATGTACACAGGCGTTTACGTATTTGAGCTCTTGTTCGCATGTTCGTAAACTCTAGGTGTACCCTAACATGACGTGTGTTCGTAGAGTAACATAAATCATTGTCTCCATAGATCAGCCGATGCGTGTGAGGAATTGCTCGAATAGGTAAAGTTAAACATAACATTCTGACGTAAAAGATATGGGCAGGCATGAAAGTAAATTTATTGTAACCCAACAAAACGTTGCTATGAATAAAGATGGAAAAAAAGGACGGGTGATATAAAAATTTACGGGCAGAAGAAAAATACGCGGAGAGAAAAGAAAATAAAGAAAGAACATTAGGGCGGGGATAGGTGGTGGAGGCCGAAACGAAACAAATTTTAGTCTTTTGCGACTCGAAGATCGATATTGTATAAAGGAATGTAAAATCTGAGCGCTTTTGGCTATTATTTTAGCCATTATCAAGGATGATTTTTTAAGTAAATTTATGATTTTTTATGTATGTATCTATAGTTATAGGAATGTTTTATTTTCCAAATACGGTCAGTACGTTATGACCGTGTTCATAGTTGATGTTGTTGAGCGTTGACTTTACTTTTTATTTTTAGTGTTTCCATTATCTTTTTTACATGCGAATGAGGATATTATATTTTTATTTTCTAGAAGTATGCTGTGGATGGATTTGAAAGGACTTTTTAATCTGACTATAAACATTAATGTTAGTTGGTACACGTGTTTGTGTTGCTATACCTGTTTTTTTTATTTTCTTATACAATGAAAGTCATAATTGAGAAGTCCTACTAAAGACAAATTTTGCTTCCGACGGGAATCTAACTTGCCACGTATCCCACACAACCTATAGAACAAAAAAGGATTGCATTTCGCTACCTGTCGGTGCGACAATTTTTCTTAAGCAGGATATCTGAACTCAAACACGTGTACCGACTAAAAATAACGTTTTCTTTAAGATTTGTCCAATACGCAGGCCTATAGATACAAAGTTAAAGTAAAACAATAATAGCGCGACTATTTCAAATACGAGTATCCACTAATAATAGCGACTGAAAGAATATATATATATAATTATTTATTTAAAAATTATAACATAAATATGTTATAAATCACTACAAAATAGCCATTTTGTTTCAACACCTCCGGTGTCTTATCAAGTGATGATGTTGAAGACGACAGTCTGTTTCGTGCTATATGCAATCGTCAGGCCACGTGTGCTCTGACGATTACATATAGCATGAAACAGACTGTCGCCTCTAAGTGTTGACTTCTATGTTCACTTTTGTATTTATATTTACACACGCTCTATCTCTGATATCGAGCACTTTATCCCATAGCACACCTTAAGACTATATTTCTTCATATATATATATATATATATATATCGTGTATCAAAAAACACTTTCAGAAACTTTGGTTCGTCTTCCTCACAATAAAACAAGGACAAAAGTCTGTATAGACATATGTCTACAAATCCTTTGTTTTGGGGTTATTTAAAGTCTGCGGTAGACGCTGTTGAATGTACAATCTAAGATACAATACATAAATACTTTTACAAAGTTCGGGGGCGGGTTCCTGACATCAAACCATGGTGAAATATCCATATAAACATAAATCCAAAAACTCATCGTTGTACCTCAACACACCATCTGATAACAAATGTTTAAAATGTCCCGTCGGATTATTGACTGGTGGACCCTTTCACAATACTCTCATATGGTGTCGAATTGTTTCGCATACCCTAGAACACGTTGATGAATCGTCTCTGCATTATTAATGTCTGCTGCATAAACCAATTGTTACAGGTGACCTCCACAGATAAGAATCCAAAGAGTTGAGGTCAGGGAAACGTGCAGGTCATGGAACCGGTTTTCCATCTTTCATGATAGATGTCAGCCAGTGCATCGCGAACAATGTGACTAAAATATGCTGGAGCTTCCATAACGTATGAAGCACATGCAACTTCGTACTAGCAAGGGTACATCATTTAGCAAATCTGTAAGTGTGTCTGAAATAATGTCCCTGTAGACAGCTCCTGTAAGACGTGCTGAGAAAACATATAAACCTACCAGAGAGTCACCTACAATTCCAGCCCACACATTAATCGTAAATTCGTGCTGGTATCTAGTTGATTTTCGATCCGCCCACAAATGTTGGTTGTGTAAATCTGTTATTCCATCCAAGTGTTGCCTCATCCGTAAACAAAACTGAAGAGAAAAACAACGGATCGTCAGTTTGTGCAATAAACCATCGGCAAAGGTTCTCCCGTGGTGAGTGAAATATGCCCTGTGAAAGTTGAATTTTCCTAGCCCGCTTTCCTTACGATGAGTCCAAGGAATTTCCGATATCTTTTCCTGATTTTGATCGTCAGGATTCTTCCTGTTGCCATTTACTTCCTCGTTGCTAACTCTCTCCGTCCATAGAATTCTCAGTATCCTTCTGTAGAACCGCATTCGATTTTTCTTCTCACGCGTGAGGATACTGTCCAGCATTCACTGTCATAATAATTCTATCACTACTTCCAGAAAAAATGTTAAGATGAGGCCCTTTCTTTCGTTCCACTAGAGCCGAACTTTATAGCTATGACAGTCAATGCCATTTGCACAGAGTCGGAGAATCTCCATTTCTTGCATGTGCCAAATATAAGCAAAAAATTCCACACAAACAATTTTTTTTTCCCATCACCTACCTTTTTGTGAAACAGACTCTTGTGTGCATGCGTCTCAGGACAATTTCATTTTGACTCCTTCAAATCAAATGTCAATCCTTATCCATCCTACTTATCCTCTTCATTTCACTTCTTATTACGTTATCTTTAATTCATATCACACAACATTTATGAACATCTTTTATTTCAATCAAGATTAATTGTTATTATTAATTAATTAATATTGCTGAATTATTATTAATTAATTAATATTGCTGAATTACAGTATATTTGTACATAGGATAAGCGATGGATTAACAGTTTCATCTCTTGAACTTCTTCATTGTGAAACACTCTTCTGGATTCTTGATTTCCAGTCAACTTTGATCGTCAAAAATTTAAATGCAATGTGAATCCTTATCTTTCGTCGTATTAATTTTTGTTCTTTTTGTTTTCTCTCTTTAATAGTGTTTTTCTTTTCTCGTATTCTAACAGTAAACACTTGCGTCTTAGTAGCTTTATTACCTTGCTTGGGGTGAAATGATTAAAATAGACATATTCCATTTTAATATCGGTTTATTCTCTTTAGCCATAACTCATGTCTGTAATCTTACATTCATGAGTTTGTGCAGATTCTACGCCTCTTACAAATGTCAACAGCTGGGCTAACAGAATGTTTTAGGTGTCGTTATAACCATTATGCATGTTTAAAGGAGACCGATCTGGTATTCATTCTGACTAGAGAACTTTTCAGACATCTTTCAGAGCATGTTAAGTAGCACGAGATCAATGGAGGCGGTTTTATCCTGTTTGAACAGCACATCGATGAAACAATGGATGGTGGACGAGTTGAATAATGTTCAAGATGTACAAATCTTCTTCCATCAACACCATAGGTGGGCGAGAGTTGGAAATAATTACACCCTAAATGAGCGTTGTGAGCGAATGATTTCCAGATCTCCGTCAGATATTCAATCACCATCGTACTCTTTATATCTGTCGTGCGACTTCAGGATATGGGAGGGCATGACTCACCGCAACTTTCTATCCTTTGTATCCCCAAGCAAGTAGATTTTTTCCCGCATTAGGTTGCCAATTCTTTCTGCGGTAGACCAGTTGTCATCAAGGGCTATAGAACCCGGTCTGTCCTGCTATTTACCCATATCTGGTGGCGGGGGAGAAGAAGAGGATTCATACCTTTCCCAAGGGTAAGTGAATTTAATGGATTCGGCTGGAATTCGAACTCGGTTCTCCGATTCCTCAATCCAAGCCGCTATTCATTACCCCACCGTGTCTCCCTGAACCCACCAGCGTGCACATAATCTACCCAGGTAAAATTCGTCCTTCATTGTGTTGGTATTCCCCGTCAGTAAGTGTGTGTGTGTTTGAGAGAGAGAGAGAGAGAATGGGGGAGGGATGTGTATATGAGTGTATATGTGCATATCTGATTAAAACATTATATTTCTGTATGCCGATCAGTAAATAAAAGAGGGTCAACTCGCTGCGCAATATTTGTCAGCAAGCGAGATAATAACTCCTCCAGTGTTCACTAAACGCTCAGTATTTGTGTTCTTGTGTCAGACAGAGGCAAATTACATCAATCATTGCTATGATAATTATTTACATTATTTACGTTTGGAGTAATGTTAATAGATTTGTTGTTATTACAACATTTCGGTGGGCCGTTGTGCCTTCCGGTCTTCTTAAGGTGTCTGACGATCTGAGTGACTTTCAGGGAATTTAGAATTGAATACTTTATTTAATCTCATTTCACTGTTCATATCTAGGGATAAGTCGACATGCTCATCGTTTTCACTGAGACTAAGTGTGCACTACCGCGCCCAGGAATTGAGCTCACAATTATTATACCAACAAATTCACGAACCAACACCATAATCGACTTGGCTATTGTCCCGTTAGGTCAGGTTGATTTTCGAACCATGGTAATGTACTCAATTTGACATGATAAATAAATAAAAAAAAACATTTTTTTTTTCAAATCATTACCGTTTTCTTTTTAGCAAATGAGTTTAAAGATTAAGTTTAGGTTCAAAATTATTGCTTTAGAATTTAATTCCGGTGATTAAGGAAAAACTTATAGCACAGCTTTATAAAATTTATAATTTACTGAAGCTTCACAGATTTTATCTGGACACTATACACATTATTACTAAATTGTTGTATCATCAAATAAGACCTTCATTACTTTTTATAATATGTTATACAGTACTGTAGTTTTAGTGTGATTTTCAATAAACAATGCAAAATTTGAAACATTTTGTCTCATAATTTGTGCCCAACAGCATTATGATTATCTAATTTTTGTTTTTACTAATTATGGTCTAACAAATGAACCAACAAATCTTATTCATTGAGTGGCCTTTTACAATTTTTTTCAGTTTTTACTCATCGAATACAGTTAAAAATTGCATATTTTGCTTGTAGTGATTAGAATTCTGGTTATAATCAATGTTGATTTTTTTAAAACAAAGGGACAAATCAAACTGCCTTATTGTCCCGTGGGGCAACAAAGCTAGCAATAACTAAACAGCACTAAAAGAGATCAAGACGAGTTGTCCCGAGAAATGGACAGTTGAAAGTAAACAATCATAAGTGAAAATGTAATGGTAATCAACATGTTAAGTGCCATACGTTATACAGTCTTTGACAATCATGTCTT